CTTTAACAGACTTACCGAGTTTCCGTGCAAAACATTGTAGTATTGCGTCTTGTCGCGGTAAAGCCCATGTTGAAATGACTTCGGAAAGTCATCAAATCTTGCGTGGACTACTCCTAGATTGATCAAAAGCAGTGGCAACAATATTTACACATATAAATGATTGTAAAGAAGTGGAAGACAATTTCATCAAGGTGCTATTTTATGTTTTATATAAACGAGTGAAATAGAGAAAAAACACGAGTATGCATACAAAAGGAAGAAGACATTGAAAGAAATTAAGTGGGTGATACATGTGTGTGTGTGTGTGTGTGTGAACGCAGTTCAGTCACCGGGGGAAATATCCCCATGCCCAGGTAGGTCCCGGTTGGCGTTGTCACTCAAGCATATCGGAAGAAAAAGGAGAGAAGAGAGTTATGATAAATAGTAATCCATTGTTGTAGGCGCTTAATAGCGCCTTCTAAGGACTTCTTGTCGAAACTAGGCGAAGCGATATGGGGATAACCCACAAAAATTACATTTGTAACGAGATACTAACAAAAAAGCGTAAATGTTTGCAGTCTCGTTTAACTCATGACATGTGTTTTTTAATCATACGTTTACGCGCGTTTAAGTATGGACTCTTGCTTCATTCCACTAAAAATGAATTCATTTTACTAATTTAACTGGGAATTGTTTTAACAGACGACGAACAACGTGGCACATAAATCCGAAGACGTTCTGGAATAGTGAAAAATACCTTGCAAAAGTGTTTTTTTTTATCTGTTTATACTTCTAATATGAGGTATTGTAACTATTTACGTTACTTACATTGTTCAGACTGTTGTCCCCATCTTTGTTGTCATATTCGTTATGACGTTTCGGACACAAAAATCGCCTAAGCCGAGAAAACATAGGTATAAATAGAATATGAGAAGCAGTATCAAAGAGTGTTAGAGAAAAACAATAATAAAAAACAAAAGTTGTAATATGAGCTCTGGTAAAAAATGATAACTGAGACATTACGTTTATAAGCACCCCCCCCCAATTCATACACTGATGTCCCCAGTGGATAAAAAGCGTTGGTTGATGTAATCCAATGACTTGACCCAAGGAGTTGCGAATTTAAGATCTGTCCACAGCAAAGGTGAACAAAAACCTGGAGAGTTGAATTACTAAAGGAAATAACTGAGAACTGAGATATCCAGAAAAGGCATGGTACGTGGAACTAGAACAATCTACCCTTGTGGACGAAATAAAGGCTTCGGTTCGAAATTCCAACGTATATCACCTGAAGAAGGCCAGAGCAAACAACGGCCGAAACATTGAGAATATGACAATAAAGATGAGGACGACGGTTCGAACGATGAAAATAGTGTAAAAAGCCTTTTTTCAGAAACAGTGTTGAACTACTATATCAGTTCTTCGTTATGGTAGTTCCTCGCTGATGAAGAGAAGACTTAAGGCGACAGAGATGTGGTTTTACAGAAGAATTCTAATAATACCATGGACTGAAGATGTGAGGAATGACGAATTTCTTTGTGAAAATGGGAGCAAAAGCACACACAGAATTAGGAAGAGACAGTTAAAATTACTTCTACACATAATGAGGAAAGTAGGCTTTGAAAATTTAACGCTCACCATACATATTTAAAGCAAGACGTTGATTGGCTGGTTTCATTTAGCGCCATATCAACATCTGTAACAACATTTATTTAATGCCAAAATCAAAATATTTTTAATACAAGTTTATGGTTTCAACCACAGACAAAATGCATTTTTGGTCATTTTCTATCAAATGTATTGTTGGTAATTCTACTATTAAATGTATTGTTAATTTTACTATCAATACACATTGTTGGTAATTTTTCTATATAAAGTTGTACTATTGGCATTTTCATCATAAAAATGTATTTTTATACGTTCATAGTGTTTTGTTTGGTGGTTCACTATTTGCCCATAGCTGGGGCCCTAACAGGTGCTACTACCCTGGGTCAGAGTAGACCTGCGAACAACAGCAATTAAGAGTTGGTTCCACGCTCCTCAAAACCTCCAATCTCCTGATCAGAGGTTTTGCTACGGAATTTAGTTTATCGTCATACCCAGGAATGATAATATACCGAACCGTCTTATCAACGAGAATGGAACCAAAGAACTCACGTGTTACAGTCGTGTGTTCTGGCGGGTCGGCCTTACCCATATGCAAATTATCATGTTATATAAATATTTGAAAGATACTTATCTGCCTGTTGACATTCCTTGCAATAAAATAGGAACGGTAAAGTCAAGATGATTGTTAAAGTGTGACGTACTCAACTCCTAGGAACTCATATCTAAACAAGGTTAGTTAATCTACTTGAGTTATCCTCAAATTATTGCTCGGAAGTAACGAAGGTAATCGACTAGGAGTCACAAGGCCCAAACTCAAAACTAGAACAAAGTTAAGAGATGTCTTTAAATAGACTACAAATAACTTTAAACGTTAACTTTAACGTTAAAAGTCACGATTAACTTTCTCATTTTCTAAAATTTTGTCAGGTGTGTGGCAATGTCTTAATATTTTTCCATTGTTTTTCTAACTCGTGGTTTCCCCATCCATTATTCGACAGATTTTTTCTTTCTGTTCACCAGTTAAATTATTTTAGAATACAATGTAATGTATTTATCAACATGGCTTTACTATTGAGTCATGGTTGTATACCTGGTCAAATGATGGCAGAGCACGTAATCAGGTCAGTATGTTTATATGCATGATTACGTAACTTAACAAGGAAAACATATAAAACAACCATCAAGTCCCAGGGGTTAGCGGAAACAGGAAGAATCACATTTTGCTAGAGTCTTATTGTTCTATCAATGGTCCTTCGATCGAGTTCTCATTCTTTCATCAACCACAGCGACAGAATTCATACATCCTAAAGAAGATAATTTCATATCAAAGTGGAATCACTATAATGCCAGTGCAGTAGTTGGGGTGACAGTCTCATTAGCCACAGACATTATTCCTCATTGAATGCGCCATAAATAAATGTAACCTTCTATGCCATTTAATTTCATCGAACAAATATAAATATACATAAAAAATACTCCTTGCCGTGGTATAAACTAGTTTCGTGGACCATTATGACTGAGTAATGAATTTGAGCTTCATTAGTGAACCTTGGGTTAAACTAGACTAAACAACAAATAAGGTGAAAGAAAAAAATATATAAAACGCAATATATATATATATATATATATATATAATCATTTCACCCCAAACAAGGCAATAAAGCTAAGATGCAAGGGGTGAATGAGTGTTAGAAAACATGAGAAAAATATACTATTAAGGTGAGAGAACAATAAAAGAGCAAGAATTAAGAAAACAGAAGATGACGATTGACACTGCATTTAAATTTTTGAAGATCAAATTTGACTTGAAAGTAAGAAGTCGGAAGAAAGTTCCATAAACGAGAAGTGCAATAGCAGAAACTTAGCATAGAACATACGGTTCCATTTAGCCCTTTCAATATATATATATATGTGTGTGTGTGTGCGTGTGTGTACTAGCTTAAAAACCAGGATTTACGATAGCTCCTGTGGTGGGCTCTTGATTATGCCTTCATCGCAATAGGTAGGAAGGAGTAGATGCGATAAGCAACAATAAACTGCAGAAGAACTCAAAACTGATCGATGCATTTAAGTATTGCATTAATATTTAAGCTTATCCTTTAAAAGTTCAATGATAATTCTTCTGTCGACACTTAATTTAAAGACAATTTGGTGTACATAGGTCCTTACTTTCCGTACAAAAAATTAATTTTATTTCATGGGTGACTTTCGCTGGATTTCGCAATTAATTTCGATTATTCTTAAATTTATTTTCAAGTTATAAAAATTGTTATCGTACAAAAAAAAATTCGTCGTAAAAAATCAGATAAAAAAATAGCTAAAAACATTGCAGTAATGAAAACTTGGCAATCCAAAACTCTGTAACATGAGCTATCGAAAGTTAGAGAGTTGTGTCCCTTTAATTGAAAATGTGTGACACACTGACATTCGTATTTATTTTCTAAAGAAGTAATGGAGTTTTTATTTATTGATCCGACAGATGTTATTACTTAAACGTTGATTTTATTGGATAACTGTATTTGATTTGACGCTCCGTTTATTTATTAAAAAGTATATTCATTTATTTGAGTCTATCGGCCTAAATAGACGAGAAATTTTATTAAAGAGAAATATCCTGCTGGAGAGCGCATGTTTTCCTTTAATAAGGTTCCTCGAATATTCAGGCTGGTTGGCAAAAATAATTGAATATACTGTTTACTAAATAAACGGAGCGTCTACTCAAATACGAGTATCCACTAAAAATAACGTTTATATAATAAGAATATATAGTGTATATGTTATATTCCGTGCTAACAGGAATATGGAATGGACAAACACGGTGGATAAATAGTAACAGTAAATAAAAACCAATACAACAAAGAAGGAAGTAATAGTTATGCGCACGGTCGCCGCAAGTCAGTAAAGTTGTGTGCGTGCTATCGGAAGGCCGCTAGTCTCGCAGATCCCAGCTCGACTTTCTGTTCGCTGTCCTAACGAATACTTATAGGTGGTTACCACCTCTAGTGCCGCTACTCATAGGGGTGGCAGGTTATTCCATTACATCAGTATATAACACTTTTCTATGTGATTCAAAATGTCTAGTACATAAAGACGGGTAATTCACACATGTCTCTGTAGTGGACCCTTGTAGTGAGGTAGTAAAAATGCTACATGTTTATACAAGTAATATTGTGTTAAAAGAACTTTTAAATTGCAATTGGGTTTGAACTGAATGGATTTGACTGATTTGTTGTCGTTTTTTAAGGTTATATAGAGCCGAAACTATCTTGAATTGTAGTCATGATTTTCCGATACAATTCCTACTATTTAACCCATAGCTAGGAGGAGGGGCAGTGAAGTCACACCTTTCCCACGTAAGTGAATATAATGAACCCCACTGAAGTTCGCACTCGGCCTTCGGATTACTCATTCCATTACATCACCTGGTATTCACGCGTGGTCACCCATCTAGGCACTGACCAGGCTCAATGTGGCTTAACTTCGCCGATCGGACGAGAACCATTGTTTCAACGTCATATACATTTTTATAGTAAAAATACCAGCAATACATTTTATAGTAAAATGACCAACAATACATTTTATCAGTAGTTGAAGGCATACAATTGCGTTCAAAATATATTTATTTGAAGTCATAAAATTGTGTTCAAAATATTTAGATTTCGACATTAAATAACGCCTAGAGGTGTTGATGTGCCGCTAAACAAAATCAACCAACCAACTCCGCTATTAATTTCATTATAATAGAAATAATAGTCTGCAAAACTAGCTTCTTAGCTCAACTTGCCGTGCGGTAGTAGCTATCATTTTATTGCCAATATTCAAGGTAAGGACCATGAAAACCATATAGTGACAGTCCTCACTAAGCGAGATAAAAACAGGTTGACGACATCTTTTTAAACCTGTATCTTTGTCCGCCTTATTTGATTGGGTTAACTGAGCAGATACTGATCTACTTTTAAAATTCAGGTTTGACTTGTACATTTTGTTTTAAGTGAAGGAAATGTTATTAAAAAAATATAAACTGTGTGTAATCATTTCAAAAGTGAAAAAAAAAGCCTCTTCCAATTATCCTAACGTTTGAAGTTGTACCAGTTTCTACTTCTTTTTATTTTACATTAACAGTGAGGTCTTCTGGTACGTCGTTTTCCATTCCGTCTTAACCTAAATAGTGGCGTAGTGGCTTCTGGTGGTCAGTGGGGGAATAAAGCAATAAACACGATTGGATTTTTAGCACGACCAAAAACTTCATTAGAAAGAAAGAAAGGAGTACCGAACTGTTACATAATATCTTTCCTCTTATACGGCAGTGAATGCTGGACAATCTCCTCAAAGAAGAAGAAGAGACTCGAAGCAACAGAAATGTGGTTCTACAGAAGGATGCTGAGAATACCATGCACCGAATATATGAGCAACGATGAAGTTTAAGAGAAAATGGAAACAAAAAAGAAACTTATACTTAACATCAAGTAGAGACAGTTGAAATTTCTAAGTCAAATAATGAGGAAAGGAGGCTTGGAAAATCTGATATAAAACAAGACAGATTAAAAGAAGACAGAGGAAAACAACGCACAACCTAATTAGTGATTTTGATCAGGGTTTGGGAGAGATAGCACAAAGACGAAATTTATTAAAAGCTACGAAGGACAGGAAATTGTGGAAAGCCATGAACGCCTACGTTCCGAAGGGACATTGCACGTAATGAAGAAGCATTTGAACCCGGTATACGCTGCTTACTGAGGTAGCTAAACAGGCACCTTCTCATCGTAACATTAATCATCACCTGTACTAAATATTTCGGGAAGCAGGGGAAATTTTAGAGACATTTCTGAATACTGGACTCTTATCTTGAGTCCTGGAAGTTTAGATTAATGATTAAGAATAAATGCAAGGTAGGACTATAATAGTAAACTAGAAAGACCTGTGACAATTTCACGGTTTTCCTATTTTAATTTGCTGATGAATCTTAATTCTTCAGTTAATAATTGAATAAGCCCTTTCTATCTTAGAGACTATAAAACACACACACACACACACACACAATTCCCTTATTGCATCGTTAAACAAATTTTTGAGCTTAACAACTTTAACAAAATATTTATGAATACTGGTCGTTATTTTAAGTGAGTACAAATGAAAAGATTTGAAATTGCCAACTTTTTTCCATTTCACTGAAACAGACGTAAAACACTTCAATCTTCCCTTCTTTCATTTATTTTCTCACTGAAACCAAGTAGCGTCTCTGATATGTCTTTTCCATCTTTACGTGCAATCTAAAAGGAATGGTCCATTATTTATGAGGTACTGGCCGGTCGTGCTAAATAAGGGAGGGACGAGCAGAATTATAATATGATAATAAAAATATCTCAGTCTATGTAGACATTTGCACAAAAAATTTTTGTATTCCGTAAAATGTATTCCATTTATTTTATTGTGTTTTCTTTGTCTTCGATTCATGTCGTTAATATATTGTTAAATTCCTCTCCAGAAAGGAAAGTGGCAAAATTATAAAATTGCGCCCCTATATAAATATTTGATACCCTACCAAAATGCAAAGTAGATCTACTAGTTCAAATATACAAGTCAAGATCATTTATATATTATAATTCTTCTTGTTCCTCCCGTTAGTTAGTACGTCTGTTATACCATCTAATAGACTGCTTTTCCCCTGCCCACAAATTATAGGTATAGCCGCAGCAGATAGAATAAATCCCTTTCCCTTACTTCCGGCTAGCCTCACTTTGAGATGCGGCCATTAACCCACATTGGAGCAGTATAAATATGTTGCTAGAAATCAATCAGTTATGTGCCATGCGTGATACACGATTAGGTGATCATTTATCTTTCGATACATGACTGACGAGGCAGATTTTTTCCGCAGTAGGTTGCTATTTCTTTCTGCGGTAGACCAGTTGCAATCCAATGCTACAGAACCCGGCCTGTCCTGCTATTTACCCATAAATCAACAATAATTTACCGTAATTTTTAACATCAACTTAAAATTTCTCTTGTTAAAAAGTTAGATAATTTTAACACATTCAATATTATGAATAAAAAATGGCGAATTTTATATAGTGTTTTTAAAACTGAACATGAGCGAAAAACCCCTAAAACAGAACAAAAAAGACCCCAGAATGACGTTAAAATTCGCAAAAATTTTCATACTATAATAATCTTTTTTTTATGCACCATGCGTGATACACTCTTAAGCGATCATGTATCTTTCGATAAATGACAAACGAGGCAGATATTTTTTCCCGCAGTAGGTTGCCATTTCTTTCTGGGATCGACCAGTTGCTATCCAAGGCTATAGAACACGATCCGTAATGCTATTTAACCATAGCTAGGGGTGAGAAGAAGAGGATTCATACCTTTCCCAAGGGTATTAGCACGTAAGTGAAGGTAATGGATTCGACTGGAATTGGAACTCGGCTTTCCAGTTCCTCAATCCGAGACGTTATCCATTACTCCACCGTGCTATAAATAAAGCTATAAAAAAATCTTCTAGTAGGTATCCACTTCTTTCACGCTCTGTCATTACCCCAGATAAATAATGTACAATTCCATTTTGATTGCGACGAAAGAAAGAAGAAAATAATAAATCAGAGACGTTGTTTGGTTTTAATGAGAAAAACAAAGAATATATAGTAAGTTCGTAAGAAAGAAAGAAGGAAAGAAAGAAAGAGGAAGTAACACACGCCTACATTTAACGTCTGCTTCAGTGAAATGGAAAACCTTATCAGTTTTAAATCTTTTCATTTTTACCCTCTTACTTATTTAAATAACGACCTATATTCATGCTTATGATTTTTATTGCAATATTTTGTTGAAGTTGTTATGCTTAAATATTCAACGATGGTTGAATTTCTATGAATCTTTTATTGTCGTGGAACTTGCAAGTGGTTTATTGGATCATTAACTAAAGTATTATGATTCCTCAGAAAATTCAAATAAGAAAACTGTGAAATGTTCACGGATAATGCTAGTATATAATAAATTATGGCATTTCAACAAGAAGACGATCTTTCATTTGTTATATTTTATTTGAAGTGCATTTATATTTTAACAGTATAATATGAGTACCACTTGAACATATTCTTTTACAATTATCACAAAAATATATTTTAAAGTACATGACCCCAGACTATAGGAAAACACGCATTTGCATTTTTACTATACAAGATGTAGTGAGTAACAGTAACACCTTTCACCCACTCCCTTCAAAATGGGAGGACTGACAAAGAGGGAAATAAATTAGCGAGACTACGTGAGATTTTTGCCTTTCACAGAAATTAACCGGTGAGCTGAGGAAGAAGCAGGAAAGAAATTCGCGAGCCTATGTTTCGGACCAATGAAAACCTTGCCTTCACAGAAATTAGCTAGTGACTACTACTAACAAACATCATCATTATCATCTTTCTACTGAGCATATAGGATTGAAATAGATTTGAAGGCATCTTTCTAACTATCGAAGTAGTACTGTTGGTTGTTTGATTTTGTTTAGTGGCATATCAAACTCTATAGCAGCGTTTCTCAACCATTTTACCCTTGGGTAACCCTTAAAATAAATTACATATCTCAAGGAACCCCTGCGCAAAAACAAAATTATATACCATATCATTTCATTTTATTTTTATCGTAGTTCACGTGGTAAATATCATAATATATATTTTTGAATAACTGGTTTTAAAAAAAATTAATACTCCATTGTCAAATTTTTTGGTAATGCTAAATAAAATTCATACTGTTCGTTCATAATACTTCATCAAGGAGTTTTCATTCACACAAAAAATATTCTAAAACTCAAGCGTAAAAAATAAACATAAGTAACCAGTGATTGTTATATTTTTTAATAACATAATAGTAATACGTTAGATAGGATGATATCGATATGACACTATTATAATAACCAAGAATATATTGTGTGTGTTTAGTAATATTACGTATATGAAATTAAATAAAAAGTCAAAAGTGCATTAGCTTATCTCACCTGTTCTCGCGGAACCCTTGTGGACCTCATGCGGAATCTTAGTGTTCCGGATAACCCCGGTTGAGAAATGCTGCTCTATAGATTATTTAATGCCGAAATCTAAATATTTTGAATATAGTTTTAAGGCTTCAACTACAGATAAAATGTATTGTTGGTTATTTTGCTATAAATTTTATTGTTTTTAATTCTGCTTTCAAAATGTATTGTTCATAATTCTGCTATAAATATGTATCGTTGGTAATTTTTTAATACAAAAATGTATTTCTGGTATTTTTTTACTATAGAAATGTATCTTTATACATTTTGTTTTTGTTTGGGTGTTCACTATTTGCCCATAGCTAGGACCCTAATAGACGTCACCATCCTGGGTCAGGGTGGACCTGAGAACAACAGCAATTAAGAGATGGTTCAAAACCTTCAATTTCCCGATCAGAGGCCTTGTAGCTGGGTGTAGTTTATCGTCATACCCAGTACTAGGGAATTTTTGGGCGTAATTAAATCGAGTAAAGATTAAAGTAACCATT